GGTCAGTAAATTGTTCAGTCACAATAAGATAATATAATAGTACTATTGGAAAATTGAAAATAATTTTGTCAACTGAGATAATAATAATAATAATGTTGTGTGAATATAATATGTAATAAGGGGGGTGTTATCAAGGTAATTACGGTCAACAAATTGGGAATGATGGATATGAAGATTAAGATATAGATAATGACAAATAATGATAATAAGGAAAATAAATAAAAACGAAGGAAGGAAGGGGTAAGAGGTTTATAATATTCAGTCTAGGTATTTGGTGATCTAGTCGTAGGCCAGGGTAAACATAAAGGCTGGATATATTTTTTCTGGATGCATAAGTTAGGTCTTCTGGAGTTGATCCAGATAGCTTCGGCTGTGTAAAGCAGTCGTAATCTAGCTCCTTGAGGTAGATATTTTGGAACTTGATATAAAACAGAGAAAGCTTCCTCTATTTTAATATGATGTTCACTATCCACCAAGTGAGAAAGAATGGTGCTGTTAATTGATTTGATGACTCCTTTTCCCAACCATGCTGGTACATGTTCACGAACACGCAAGGATAAAGCCCTCTGAGTACGGCCTATGTAACTAGCTCCACAGGAGCAGTTGAATTGGTATACACACATGGAGGAGCCCATCTTCGGTAACTTATCCTTGATTAGTTGTGTGAGTACTGGTTTAGTCGAGAAAGTTATGTGTAACTTGGCGGCATGAAACGTCCTCTCGACAGATCTTTTGAGTCGACGTGTTAGAATATCACCCGCTATGTCGCCTTTAAAGTCAAGTTTCATATATAAGGTCTTTTTACTGACCGTGTCGCAATGTCTTCTCTTTTTAATACTTTGTACGAGGTATTTTTTGACGAAATTATCCGGATAGCCATTATTACGTAATGTGTTCTTTAGTATAACTATTTCTTCCTCCACACTGTCTTCAGAACATAATACCTTGATTCTGTGGTTGAGACACTTAACCAAATTTATTTTATATTGCAGAGGTGTGAAGCTTTGGAAATGGGTATACTGACCCGTCCATGTACACTTTCTAAACATATTTCGCTTTATGGAACCATCTATCCTTCTAGAGAGTCGGACATCTAGAAAAGCTATGCTATTGTCCTTTTCCTCCTCGCTGGTGAATTTAATGGCTGGGTGGACATTATTGAAAGCGTCTAACATCTCCTGTTTGTCGATATTTTCGTCACATATGATTAATGTGTCATCTATGTATCGACAGTAATAATCAAGCTTATTTAGGATGTCTTTAAGCGGTCCATTTTCTAGTTTGGCTAGAAAAATATTAGCAAGGATCGGACCTAGAGGTGATCCCATTGCTACCCCATCTACTTGTCGGAAAAATTCATTGTTAAACTTAAAGTAGATATTCATAGTGCATTTCAAGAGAAGTCCTTTCATTTTGTTTATTGGGATAGGAATCTCTATTTTCTTTTCTATCAGTTGTTCACATATGTAATCTATAGTTTCAGTCAGAGGGATGTTAGTGAACAAAGATGTTATGTCTAGTGATAGCATGGTTTTTCCATTTATATTCATATTTTTAATTGTATCAACAAATTCAAAGACGTCTTTAACATTATGCTTAGCAAGTTCTTGGTGCAATGGTTCTAATAACTTAACTAACCATTTTGCTGTTGAATGGTATGGTGAATTTGCCATATCCAGTACCGGAAAAAATATATCCAGCCTCTATGTTTACCCTGGCCTACGACTAGATCACCAAATACCTAGACTGAATATTATAAACCTCTTACCCCTTCCTTCCTTCATTTTTATTTATTTTCCTTATTATCATTATTTGTCATTATCTATATCTTAATCTTCATATCCATCATTCCCAATTTGTTGACCGTAATTACCTTGATAACACCCCCCTTATTACATATTATATTCACACAACATTATTATTATTATTATCTCAGTTGACAAAATTATTTTCAATTTTGCAATAGTACTATTATATTATCTTATTGTGACTGAACAATTTACTGACCTTTATTGAATGACCTTTCTAATTTGCAAATATTACAATTTTTTTTTGAAGTATATATATATATCGTAACAGATGCAAACGTTCACCATTTTTAACACATAACATTGTCAAATTCATTAATACATGCCTTATTCTTGGCCTTTGTAAAATATTATAATTATGGACTTATAACTGTAGAGCCTGATGATGAAGTTATTGAAAACAATTGTTCGCTCAAATATTCTTCGTTTTGAATAATAAATTTGTCATAATTTCTTGTACAATATCATCATCATGTATAGGTAAGCAAAATTTGTTTATTTGTATAAATTCAGTCGTATTTGTAATTATGAAAGTAAATTAATAGACTGTCTAGAACTTAGTAAATTTTGTTGTTGTAAATAATACAAAATGAAAAAAACATCTACTTAAATATCAATTACAAGAAATTCAGAGAAGATATTTCTTTTCAACGAATTTTTCCTTAAATTTTATAAAGAGATTAAGGGAATATTTCCTTTAGCTAAACTTTGACTAACACTGAACTCCAGATTCTTGAAAGACAAGCTTTTACTTATGATTGTCTATAGGTTAATCTACTTCTATGGATCGAGGTATATTGTTCGTAGTTGGCGCTCTCATCTAAGAACATGTTCCTATTTGTTTTTCCCAAAGATAAACGAAAGTGATCGGGACTCTAAGTTCTGGAAATACTTGTTTTAAACATCGGACAACATTAAATTTATATGTTAACATTATCAAAGGATGGGGAATCGCATGGTATGGCTAAAGTCAGAAATGCATACCGTTGGAACTCTAAATCAGTGGTCTGAAGGTTAAGTACTGAGTGATTGTTTGAATTCTTGGTGTGGTTATGGATATAATAACTAAGTAGTCCCGTACTAAAATGAAACAATTACGTGAAACTTCAGATTTAAAAATCCCAATAACACCTTATGGATAAAGAATATACATCACACCTTGTTTTTACGCTGATCTTAACCTGATACCACTATTTTGATTTGTATGTAAAAGTGTTTACCTCTTAATTTTTTCACTCGTTTGCTTTACTTTGCTTGATCCTCATGGTTATCGTCATCATTGTTCAGATGATGAAACAACAAAATTAGTTATTTTTACTGACATTCTATTCACATCATAAATTCTTGTTACACTATTTTTCACGAACCCGTTCTTCAACTACCTTCTTCAATTAATGTCATTTAACATTTATTGTTATAAGTCTAAATATGCACTTCATTGCGACTATTATTTTTTTGTTATTCTTCCATTATTAACTACTGTTGATTTACCTGCTGGTGACCGTCAGTTAAGACGAGGCTCGCGTCCTGAGCTCCACTGCTGCCCACAATACAAAATTACTCTGATATATATGTAAATATATTGTTAAGGTAAAATGTTTTAAATCTTACTTGACTTCTATGATTTCCATAAAAAGTATAGTTGAAACATTATTTACTCAGTAATTCAATTATTTTATTATCATATAACTAAATTATATATATATATATATATGTCTCTTATCATACAGTTTTGGTTAAACTATTAACCACTATTATATGATTTATCATTCTTAATTTACTCTCAATCTATTATTCACAGTCTCCCCTACTTTCAGCTGATATTGCGTTGATCACATGTAATTCTTATTCTTTATTTTATAGCATTATGCATATATATATAGCCAATACACAACAAGGACGAGAAGACTGATACTGACCTAATACTGACAAGGCCCGAATAAAAAGGAAGAACACGAGACTAGTGATCATCAACACGATTTCGTTATCATATTTCGAACAGACGCAATTTAAATACGACGAAACCAGATTGCTTAATGCTATAAAATAAAGAATAAGAATTACATGTGATCAACGCAATATCAGCTGAAAGTAGGGGAGACTATGAATAATAGATTGAGAGTAAATTAAGAATGATAAATCAAATAATTGAATTACTGAGTAAATAATGTTTCAACTATACTTTTTATGGAAATCATAGAAGTCAAGTAAGATTTAAAACATTTTGCCATAACAATAATATTTATAATAGTAAACGTCTGTTTAGAAGATTTATGGAAATGTCCAAGGGAATGGTAAACAGTAATATGTTTTAAAAAGATCACACAAAGATATACTGTGGTATAATCGATTTTCACTTCTGAATAGGATACAAACTAGGACGAAATAACTATTCGCTATTTCATGATTTTCAACTGTTCTCTAGCTGACTTAATTCTGTAAAGAAAGAAAAAAATTTTTTAACTGTTGTACATATAATTCACATACAGACAGTCTAGAGCGTTTATCTATAATAGATTTAGGAAATAGTTGAGAGTTTTAGAGATACTGTTCTGTCATTTGATTTATCATTCATCAAAACTATTAGTTCTATACATAAACGTATCTAACTACGACAGGAGTATAATTCGAATCAATAAATTCTTTTCGTTATATCATTGAATAAATAATTAGAAATTACTATGTTTAGTCATATTGGTAATTTTGTTAAATATTATTTGTCTCTAGTTCATTTTTGTTTTCGTCTATTTTTATTTTGTTTATTTTTTTTATTTTTTTTATTTTTTTATTTTGTTGAGTTGCAACAACATAAAATTCTTTTTTTTATTTATAACAATAAAATTTAAAAATAATAAACCATCCATCGATTTATCTAACAAATTTTTTCCAAATAAATTAAAGAAAAAATTACTTAAAATAAATGATTATAGTGAGATAATAATAAGAAAGCAAAAATAAAAGAGAGAAAAAATGAAGAGAAAAAAATTAATTACATTTCCTTGTTATCTTCCTTTTAACATTCAACATTCATTCAATCATAAAAAATTTAACTATCAAATGTATACATAAATTTTAATATTAAGTTTTGTATGTATTTTTATATATTTAATGTGTAAATAGCTGTAAAAAAACAAAACATGTATTCTATAAACAAATAAGATGTATGTATACACACATAGCAACTAAATGTTCATGTATATCTATAAACAGACTAAATACTATTCACATTTGAGAAAATAATTGATGAGAATTATGTTTAAATTGACCAATCAACTATCAATATTAAGTATTTATATTCATTTTGTTTTAGTTTTTTTGTTCTCTATCCGTCAAAATCATCCATTTTGTCGTTATTTACTAAAACTGAAAAATGTCATTTGTAAATAGAGAATAATAATAATTGCTTTGAATTAACAGTTATATTATGATGTTATTCTTTCTAATATCTGCTACCTAAACCTGGAGTGTTATTCATTATTCAAATATTTTAATCATTCAAATAATGTTTGTAAGAATATCAAGGGATTTCATTTAATAATTTGTAAGTTTAACTAATTTTGTACTTGTTTTTTCAATAAAATTTACTTTTAACTTACTGAATATTATAATTAAACCATTAGAATTGTTAAGCCAAGGATTATCATTTATTAAACAATACCTAATTGTAAAAATACGTATTATATTAAAAATGTTTTGTTATAAAGTTAGACTTTAACTATATAATTTAATGAGAGTAGTATTAAGGGTACGTAAAATCATCTATAACAATTTACAACAGCAATTTTAGTAACATACATTCATTATTCTATTGGTTTCATATTTTCTAAACTAGATGATAATCAATCGGGAATTCTTCATCATCAATAAGTGTTTAAAAAGAAATCAGTTATTAGCAAACATTTATAAGCGTCTAACACCTTGACATGCCAACACGGAATACTACCATTTATTATTTGTCATTAATAATGATCATATAATTTCACTATGAAAAAAAATTCCAAGACGACTTTTATGATGGTTTTGTTTCGGTAAATACATTACTTACATATTTATATCACATCAAGATAAGCTGAATACTATAAACTACTTCTGTGAGCTCCAACCAACTGACCATTTCCACTAAATTTCTCTTGTTAAAACAATCATGTTCTCTGAACAACGGTAGTTAATTTCTTCTTTTATAATAATGTGACTAAACATTGGTATTTAAATAATTAGTTAATTTAGTATCGAATATTGCACTGAAAGTTTCGATAAATTGAATGATCAATTATTCATCTTAGCGAGATAAGAAGTTAACAAGTGTCTTTGTTATTAACTTAGTACATCTGAAGTACAAAAGAAAACTAAGGTAAAACATTTTTTAATTTATGTAGTATATATGTCATTTTTAACCTGCATAGTTGAAGGATATTTGTATCCTTTGTCTAAATTTTAATTAACCTATGAACCAATCTTATCATCTTATTGTGTATATTCTCATGATTACTCAATTCTAATGTTATCCTACTTTCCAAGCAGATCTATCAATTAAACTAAATAAATAATCTTTTACATTATTTTGTAAACATCTAAATTAATCGTGCTTTAAATATTTTAAATTAGAGTACAATAGAACTCTGAGTACATTCGATAAACTTGATTTTATATGAACTATGAGACATATTGTGAAATAGAAGAAAATAAACATCCATGAGTTAAGTAAAATATGGTCATTGAAACTTTTTTTACTTACTTACTTCTGGTTAGCGTTTTTTAGCGAGTTAGTTTTCTACGGGATGAAGTCGCTAACCCAATGCTCAACCCTCCTCCTTTATCCGGGCTTGGGACCGGAAGTAGCCCCAGGGAGGCTCCAAGCGGAGTTGAAACTTTATATTACAATAAACTGACTCAGTGAAATGATTGATTAATTAATTAATTATTTTGTAGATTTTTGTCCTTTAAAATTAATTTTACCCTTGAAGTTAGATCATTCAAGTGTTCAATTATCCTTTTTAATTACAAATATCAATAATATTCCCATTTTTAAAAAAAGTAAAACGAAATTACATTCGAAATTTTATTTTATTTTATAAGTTATTACCTAAAGTTTTCATTTTGATAAAACGATTAATTTCTTCTTTAAAATATATATAAAAGATTATCATTTGTAATATCAAAACATGTTTTTATGCATAATTATCGATTGAACAGTAATAAACGAGTACATATGTTGAATGATGAACAGAATTAATCTCTAAAGGAACTGTTATTATATGTGGAACTTAGAGACATTACATACGTTGAAGAATTTGAGGTACATATGCACCATGGGTTGAAGATTTATTACAGATTCTTTACCTCTTAATAAATAAACACTGATTTTTCAATGCCTTTCACATTAAGGTATTTAAACTAACTGAATTAAAACATTTTAAAACTTAATTGACCAAAAAGTGCATATCCAACATTGCTTTACAGAGTAAATATGTTTTTAACTTCATATTGAACCAAGAAACTTTGGAGTACTGATTATCAGCTTAACGCAGACATGAAACCTAAAGTTCTTCTAGTTCTTTACTTTATTGTGGCATTGAGTGATGAAATCAGTAGTTATCTACATAAAAAATGTCAATCACATTAGGATGAAAACAGGCCTCCATATAGTTGATGTAATATAACGCTACTTGTCACGGATTAGCGCTGAATAATATTCTTAATGTTCGAGTGAGAACTAGAAAAACGGTAAGTAATTGAATGCTGTTGTTCCAGTGGTTCAAACAATGCCCATATTAGTAAATAATTAACTTTCCAAAAAACTAATTCTAAAGTAGTTTTATCATATTACAAATAACGAAACTTAATATCATCAATGGAACATTACCCTTAAAGCATGGTCATTTCTTGATAAACAGTTTCAAGTATTTTAAGATGCAGAAAAAATAACAAAAGTTAGGCTACTTTAATATAAGTAATGATAATTTCACAAACGTGACTGTCTATAGCAGACTCTCAAAGAACTCACGTCTTAAAATGTGATAAATAAATTAAACAGAGTTTTTAAGTGTAGGTAATTTACGGTATTTCTAATATCAATGTACATTCGTTATTATGTGTGATAGATGTTAGGTATAATTGTTATGTATATCACTATAATGTCCGGCAATTTCGAACTATACAGAAGTTAACTAGTTCTAGTGAAAATAATCCTAAATGTTTTAGTACTAGTTAGCTGGATGTATCGGTATCCCGGAATTAATGTTCACTCCCGAACTCAAACCAATTACCCTCGTCCTGGATTCCACTGCTAGACACCATCATTTCTGATTATAATGTTAAATGTTTGTTCAGAGTAATTGCAAGGCATTTTTTTATATAAAACTAAGTGATTAAGACTTAATATCAAAGAAAAAAACTGAAATGTGATTTCGCTTTTAGTTAATACTTTAAGTGTGTAGTGCACCATGTGACAACGTTGAAGAAACCTGGACACATTTTTCTTAAAATTCCAACTTTCATCTATACACTTAATGAAATATAAACTCATTGTATAATACGTTCCATAAAGTTAATCTGATTGTATAATTTTCAGTAACTGGAATAGCTTGTATCAAATAACCACTCTTTTTTAAAAGCTTATCACATATTTTTCCTTAAGCTTTTCTTCTTTTCCTTCTCAACAGTTCATTAAATTTAGATTACAACATTTATATGGTTTAATGTTAAACATAACTAGAAACAAAATCGTTGAAAACTTGAACAATTCAAACTCTATTATTATTAAAAGTAACTTTACAATGTCAGAGTTGAAATTTTGCTCAAAGTGTAAACAATGCATCAAAGAAAGTCATTACTTATTAGCTGATTGTCAATACTGGCATGAAGATTGTCTACGTTGTGTATGCTGTGATGCTAGATTAGCTGAATTAGATAAAATCTTCTACATTAAAGCTAGGATGTCATTATGTCGAAGAGATTATCTAAGGTAAGTAAGTAGTCAATGTATATTTTTAAGTATTTTAATAAAGTAAAATAACACTAGTCCATTAAGTAGGTATCATTACCAAGGTTTGACTTCATAATTTCTAATAAACTGAGCATTGGGTAGATTGTTATAAATAAATAATATATTTGTAATATCACATTGAATAGAAAAATCAGATTTTCTGACGTTTCGTGACTTAGTGTATTCCACTTCTTCAGAGAATAAATAAATAACCAAATCAAGATGATCTTACAAATTAAACTCTGTCCTTTCTCATCATAAATGTCATACATTTTTCATCCTTAACATTACACACTCACATATATACAAATTTACATACATGTCGCTTATGAATCACCTTGACCGAAATGACGTGACATGGATTTATTCAGACCTGTTTTTGACTGATCACATAAATATTCTTGTGTTGTTCCGTTGTACTATTCAAACTTGAATTAATCTTGATTTTTTTATTTATTTATTCTCCGAAGAAGTGGCTTACACTTAGTCACGAAACGTCAGAAAATCTCATTTTTCTACTCATTGTGATATTACAAATATATCATTTATTTATAACTAGTTCAGTAAGTTGAAATACAAAATACTTGGCGTAATAATATCTGTTTAAATTGTGCTATGAATTTATCAGGATTTCAAAAATGACAGTGACCACTTTTGAATCACTCAACAATAGAGATTACGTTAGTCAGGAAGCATAATACTTTTCTACGTTCCAGATATTGAAAAACAACGAAAAGCATCAATCTTAAATGGAAATTATGATAGAGAGTATTTTTTAAATCATAACAGTACAAACCGATTTTACAAGACAAGATACCTCATTTGTTAAAATAACCATATAAATAGACATAATTTACCAAAACTGATTCCGCACTTCAGGTAGAAACTCATGTAGAAACCCATGTATAAATTATATTAGTTTCTATTTTTAAACGAAAGGCTACAAATGATCATATGAATATTTTATAAACTTCTATTAACCGGTAGACTTGTTTTCTAATCTCCAAAAATGTAAGTCTATCATGTCACCATTTTACTTCTCAGAAATTTTGCGTCAATTATAGTGTAAATTTTATTTCCAAAAATCGACCACCGAATCAGTAAATTTATTTGTTTTCGTAAAACTATCGGTCTCAAGCCCGGGTAAAGGAGGAAGTTTGGGTGTAAAGTCGGCAACCCCATCCCGTAGAAAACAATCTTGATGAAGAAACGCTAACCAGAATTCTCATAAAACTGAGTTCCATCCGGAATTTTAGTGGTCATCAACAGTAACAAGGCAGTCAATACATCAAATTTCCTAAAAATTCCAAGTCGCTTTATTTCATTCATCTAAATCTTATTGAAACTAGATTTTATGCGAATAAATGTCTACTTTCATGAGCTATTAAAATAGTTTCTCTTATTAGACAGAACAAGGAGGGAGGCATTTTACTTTTGACTATTTTTTCAGTATTCCTAGTGTTAAGATTCGAAGTAAGGTCGACTGAGGATTCCGTAAATACTAATTATTATCTACACATGACTAGACAAATTGGTGAGACTATAATTTATGGACAACCTTTGGATGACTCTAAAGTGACCTTGAGATGGCACACCTACTTATTAGGGTCAAAAGAGGGTTATAAATTAGTATGAGTAATTAGGATTCAGATTTAGAGTTAGAATTTAAGGTTACGAATTAAAGTAAGGGTTTTTATCACTAACCGATATCAGCTATACTCCTAAGATATTATTTAACGATATGAATGAATAGATTTCGCGCCAAAATCAAAACTCGCAATTCCTGATTTCGTTGATTCGTCCTTGAATTAAACTCTCACCGACAAATCAATTACATGATATGTGATATTACTTTGACACTGGTAATCTCTCATGAGAAAGAGTACACGAGACTTTCTAGAGAACTTTTGAGAAAATTGAATTACATGAACAAATATTACGGTACATATAGTATTATACGAGATGAAACAACAAATAAAAGCAAGTATTAACTATTAACCACATCGTAACATGATCATAATAAATCAAGGTGTGAAAGGTTACAGAAATAATTGTTGTAGCAACATCAATAGGTCAGAATAATACTGATTGTAGTAACCCGTTAAATTTACGTATACCACTTTACGTATATCACATGAAGACCACCAAGACAGAAAATAGCCCAAACATCAAAACGACAAAATGTTTTGCAATTTGTTATTTTCATGTAATATCATTTGTTTAACAGCTTGGAGCCTCTCAACTCCATTCCAATAAGCCATATTGCCAATCTGGTTTTCTCTTAAATCTTCAAACGAATGAAACTTTTGAGTAACATGTTCATTGTCCTAAAGATTGTTTCGTGCACAAATTAAGTACCCATGAAGTTTAAATTTAGTGGTATATACCTTTAGCTTCAACTATTTTGTGGTATAATATGGCTCATGATCGATGTTATTGATGAGTTAATACCACAATTTTAGCGTAACCAACTCCCTATGTTACAACATTTCACTAGACCCAAATATCTAGCCATTATATCTTGATTTTTAACGGCTTTTCAGTTGTTCTAGTTCTGGGTTCAAAAGTCTATCTTCAAATTCACACAATTTTGTTGATCATGTCAATATAAGAACAATTTTATTATTATTTTTCTTCTCAAAATTACATTTTAGATTGTATGGTAAAACGGGTGAATGTTCCATCTGTCAGAAACAAGTACAATCATATGAATTTGTTATGAAGATAAAAAATAGTGTTTATCATTTATCTTGTTTTTGTTGTCAATATTGTCAAATGAGGTAACTAATTAATTAATTATTTATTTATTTTTATTTATAATAATAGAAATAATATTTACATTATGAAAGGAAGTCAAAAGACATTTTTAAGAAATAAAACACTAGGAAAAAATTCTTTCATATACATACCGTCATAAATTACAGTGATATTTATCAGTGAACATGTAAAGTTTAGTTAGAGTACCTTCATATTTTGATCGATCAGAATGAAATCATTGTGAATTGATTAAACTATTCTAATTAATTTAATATAAATTTCTTAAACGGAGTAAAACTGTTTTTTTTTCAGACAAGTATTTCTGTGCACAAACTTCATTTTATATATGCTCATTGATATCAACAATCCAAGCATGTTCGGAATGCGATTCTCCTCCTTGAAATGCAAAATGTTGCTTCAGGATTGGTTTGCATTGACACCTGAATTGATGATAGGGAGTGAAGTAGTTGAGCGTGTCGACTGCTTCACTTATCTTGGGAGTTTCATCAGCCCTTATGGTCTGGTGTGTGACGGAATCTCAGCATGGATACAGAATGCTCGACTAGCTTTTGTCAACTTGCGTCATTTATGACGTACGTGAGGTATCCGTCTATCAACCAAAGGACGTGTTTACTGCGCAGCAGTTCGTTCTATCCTATTATTCGATCATAGGTGTCTTCGAAGCATTTCTCGTATATCCTGAGACCATCGAGTAAGTGACGCAGCTATTAGGAACCAGGTACTAGGTAAGGATGGCAAATCAATTTATGAAGTAGTGAAAATTCATCAGTTGAGATTGCTGGGACACGTGTCACGCATGCCCAACCACCGACTGCGTTGTTTCATGGCGTAGGAGTAGGATGGAAGAAAGCTAGGGGCGGCCAGACCAAAACATGGCACAAATCCATGAAGTCACTGACAAGTGGACTGAGCCATGCTGGTAAGTGTAGACTACCTGGTTGGGGACCGCGAGACGACAGCAACCGATGGTTATAGACCTTGAATGATGCCACCATCAACAGCTTACTGTAGATAGGACAAACCAGCTTCCAAATGGAGAAAGAAATTTGGAGAAGACGTTGGAATTGAATAGGATGTACATTACGGAAATCACCATACTGCATTCTAAATAGGGATCCTGAAGGGAAACGGAAAAGTGAAAGGCCGAGAAACACACTACGTCGGGAATTGGAAGAACAGCAACTGGAAAAAAACTCGAAAGGGCTGCCCAGGACGGGGTTGGATGGAGAGTGCTGGTGGGCGGCCTATGTTCCTCCATGAGGGGTGACAGGCGTAAGTAAGTAAGTAATAATAAGTTGGTTGTATATCACGTGACCCTACCTAAACGGATCTAATATGTAAGAGTTGATCATTGGCCCGACGATCCTGAATTCAACCCCTGACTGGATTGAGAGTGAGTACTGCTAGGGATCCTTGTGCTGGGACAGAACAGCCATTCTGTCTTCTCCGGCTTTCAACAGTCCTCAAATCGGATAATTCTTTGCCGACAACCTCCTACAGAATATAGTATTATTAACTATAAATGGCAGTAGATATGTTAGGTTACATGCAGAAATATGTTACGTGTGACGAGATTGCTCAACCATGTTTATTAACCTCTAACTAGCAAATAGAAAACAACTCTAACTTTAGAAGATTAATTAACGACAATAATTAATCAGGTAATACAGTAATAATGCTGGTAACAGTTCATATAATCTCTAAGAAAAAAGTGAAAATTGCATTTTTAAAAGGAAACGATTATATTTTTCCCTAAAAATGTCACTAATTACAGAGAAAGTGTGAAATGGATAATCAAATTCTTTTAAATAAAAGCTGGACTTAATCTGTTCAATACAACTCCCTACACTTAAGGTGTATTAACTATCCTAGTTCGTAAGATACTGTTCTGCTTTTCTAACTTCCTTAAGTATCTCGTAATTCATTTTTGTATTTGAATATTTTAAATTGGATAAACTAAGATCCCTTTATATACAAAATATACGCTTTTAAACAGTAACTATGCAACTGTCGGTAGTCCTGTAAAATAAGATTTATTCCTCTTTTAATATAACTGCTGTCTCCATTGGATCATTTAAGTCAGCTAAAAAAGCAAATTTCATAACCATTTTATTCCATTTTAAAATGTAGGTTCTGCATTGGAGATCGTTTCTATCTACATGAAAACATTATTTTGTGTGAACATGATTACATGGAATTATTTCCACACATTTCTACACGTGATATTGATCTGCCTCATCCAGAAAAAAGAAATATTATTTGTTATAAAGCTACTGCTAACTCGTGTTTTTGTTCAAATGAAATACTTTCAAGACAAAATTGCACTGATGTTGGAGATGATGAAGATTATGATGATGAAAATAACCAAAAATATCAAATGAATCTCAACTATTCACAATGTATTGCTTCATATATTCAACTATTTACAAAGTGTAAAACACGCATTACTGCTGAACAAAGTTCTTGTGACAATAAATTACTTAGGAATACAGATAATAGACTATGTTCTTTATTAAATCCATTTGATTTAAACTTTCATGATTCCACAACAATATCAGATGACCGTTCAAGTGGTTATGGTTCACCCAGTTCACCGGGGAATAGCTTCCATGATAAGATTTGAATTTCAATGAGAGATATTCTATTAGTATTCAGTCTTCTAATAGACCGATATGTTGACAGTTGTTGAACATTTACTTGGGATATGTTTAAACAAATCAAAATTTTCAGAAAATAAATGGAAATATGGAAGCGTTTATGATTCTTTAGATATAACTAATTAAACAAAAAAAGTAAATGGACATTAAAACAACTTCTTCTTAAACTACCATATTAGAGAACTAAATGATCTAAAGAAGAACAGATCGTATTATCAAATGCATTGTACATTAAGTACTATATATCATAAATAAATTATTTATCCCAACATACTTTTAATGTTTCCTAAAATCATAATTTGTGTAAAAATTATTATTAAAAATCAAACCTTTCAATCAAAATATCAAGAGTTATTCTTCCATTGTTCAAGCGTACATCATACAACAAGTCAACTTTTGGCCTGAATAAAGTATGACTATTTAGCTTGTGGAATTAAAGAAGTAATCAGTCTCGTCAGTAATTATTCTACTGTATCATTAATGGTACTAAAGAGAAAGGATATCTTTTCTTTTATGTGTATCTAGATCCGATTAAAGCGATTTGAGATTGACATGTGTTACTAAGGTGAAAACCACAACTGAAAAATGAAATAATCAGCAAATAAATGTTCCGAAATATTTTTACAAGTTAATTTTACATCCTGTAATTACAGTATTGAATAAACAAAACGTCAAATTTTCGAGTTACGTTCATAAGTTCACAGCAGAATGTAGAAATTTCAAAATTTAACCAAACGTTTACCGAAAAAAAATTGATAACCTGGAAGCAAACACAGTGATGAAGATTTTTTTACCAGAAATCTATCCAATGTTCGTAAAAAATCTATATTTTCAAAATACAGCCGTGTTCGTTTTCTACCCACTTAATTGTGAAAGAGCGATCTTGAATAAAGAAGGCTTCATGAGCTTTGAAAAACTCTTTAATAGTATTACAAAATGATCCACAAGTATTTCTTTGAAGAGTTAATTCGAGCAGGAATACTTAACCTTCATATTTAGATCTTCTTTTATAAAATAGAAAGTGACCCACAAAATCGGAATCTTACGATCACTTACAAATTCTCAGAGTTGCGTTCATCCTTATTTAATTTAACATACAGGGTACATAAGTGTATTATTTTTTGGACAAGATGAGTCAGTTTGTAGATAATATATTATCTTATTTTTCCCGTCACTATTAATAACAGAAACACTATGTGCAATTTTAACAGACAGTCTGAATTGATATGAATCTTGTGACTATCGGTGGTTGATCACAAGTACGAATATGATTCCAGTGCTTAAATGAAGGCTTCAATAACAACTTTTTAGAACTCAAAAAAGACAGGAATTATTGTGAGATAGCGGCTGTACACTTGACATGGATAGCTTAGTCGACTGAAGGGAATGAAAGTCTGGCAAGTAAATAGAAAATCAACCTTGGGAGCGTTGAATATGCCAAACGTATCGACTGTTAGCTAGAAGAATACGCAATAATTAGCTTCTCAAAACACCTTGAAACATTGACGGATTGTTTAGAAAAAAGACAGTGTAGTGTATGCTAATTATGTCTGTTGACATAATTAGTATGCAACACCAGTCGGAAGTGGAAAACCTGGCAGCAGAGGGCTAAGAAGATCAAGTTGAAGAGAATAGAACGAAAAATGGAAAGGAATTGTGGACTGGAAGAATCATACAAAAACGTGAAGGACAAATGGTGGAAATTCGCAAATGTAGTAGTCAGTGTATTGTTCTTATATTTTACGAAGATGTTCTAGAATTTTGCCTCCACCTCAGTGTTTGTTCGTTACAATAGAATGGAGAATGAATAATGTTCTTACGTCATAACGTACTCCTATTGGTAAACTTTCTCCCATTCTCTTTTATTACTTTTATAGTAATTATAATCTTACTCCTCTAGAGTTTCTAATTAAATACACAAAATCTTATATTACGCTTACTTAAATGAATTGACTTTGAAGAATCACCTTATCTTCACCACGTATTTATGACCCTCGAAATGATATTGGACTGCCCTTATCTGATATAAATGAAGACTTTCATTGCATAATCCTTAACTACCACTGCATAAATTCTTATCCTGCCATCAAATCTTACTACTATAATGATTTATTTTAAATCCGTTAAGTAATACATGTATTACCGTTTATTCTTATTCTGTTTCACGTACATACTTATTAAATTATCGACACGTTTCATTTTTAATCCCTTTCTTATTTTTTAAAGTCAACTTAGTATTCTTCCAATTACTACAAAACCTGCTTAAATATGATGAATACCATGTAAACGTTATTGAAACTTGTGTATAACTGCGTTTACGAGGAAACCTGAAACGGTTTTCTTGCAACACTTATGTTGAAATTAGCTGTTTGTGAATAATAATAATAATAATAATAATAATAATAATAATAATAATAAACTTATACACCCAACAAGATGTAAGTACCACATATAAATTCAGTTATTAGTTAAACTACTAAATTTTAAATTAACAGTATATTTAGTGTCACACTCGATTCGTGGTATAGAAAGTACGAAGACTTGTTCCGAGGTGACCCTAGTAAAATCAACGATACTGTATAATCCAATCTCTGTATTAGTTTCATTCTTCCGACTTCAATAATTAATAACCCCCAGGGGGCTGATAATATATCTTATTCCTTCCATAAAAATAGACATCCCACGTATTTTTATTTTAGTGCCAAAAATGGTCAATAGATTCAACGTACATACATATTCCCCGGAGTCAACAAGAACTACACATATTACTCATCATTAAGTTAGCTATAAGATATGTCTAATTATAGGACAGCTGATATCACTTCAGTCATTTCATGGATTGCGAATTTTTCCCGATTACACCTTACTTCCTCTAATCGACACGAGCCTTTGAAATCATGCTCAAACTGGACTTTAGATTTTGGAGCACATAATTAATCATAGATACAAGGGATGTATTAATTTTTTGTTATATCTTAAATTACGAAAGGATTTCAGTTTGTCTTCACACAGACAGTTGTTTTATCTTTTAAATTCTACAGTATAGAAGTGCCTTTACCCTGCTGACTTGACCTCAGCTTTAACCATATGTTGAAAGTATCAGAAAATAAGTCCACCCATTACCAGTTGTGAAGTAAGCCCAAAACTTTTATAATATGATTTGGTTATGCATGTGTCACTGCTAAATCAGGAAGGGTTTTTTATGTATGCTGAAAACTTCGAAGTTGTATATTCTTTTCTTTCTTGGAGATGAAAAATGGCACTGTAAACAATTTTGGGCATCCTGTAATTCAGTGGCACAACGAATGTTACAACAAAAAACAATTGTCAATAATCTTTTCATGTGCTAGTGAAATGTTTGCATTGCTATATAATCACTGGACACGATGAAAACCAGAGGTCGTAAAACAAATAGTTGGTGAAGTTCTATAAACTGTCTGGGAAACATCAGGAAGCTTGATGGAACATATATATCAGGCCCGAAAAATGCGAAACTGTAATTTGTTGATGAACTAATCGAATTTAAGAAAGCGGGTCTCAGACTGCAGCGCGAAACCCATCCATCCACATGACTAAGTAGGATTCTGGAGTTATAGCTTACATCACTTCGTGAAGGAAACCATGATTCCAATTCTTATCCCTAACTTATAAATCTAAATCCTCATTTTCATCTTTCTTATTAATTTATAACCCTCAATAGATCACAGTAGGTTGGTAAATTTCCTCAAGGTTAGTCTGACATCGCCCAAACGTCAACCGTAAGTTATAATCCTATCGCTCTAGTTAATCAACCAGATTTGAAATAGCACCCCACGATGTTTGCGTGAAATCAAAGGCCTAGTGAATGGTGACTTTTTCTCACTAAGCCTATTTGAAAAATCACCTTTTTGATGTGCTGAAGCACTTTGGATTATATATATATATATATATATATATATATAAACCTCAAAATAGTAATTACAGAATTCACGCCAGTTTACAGTCATGATCAGTTTGATATAAATAGTAACATTAAATGTAAGGAACAAACATATGATATAAGATTGTTTTAAGTTCATTATTTCAAAAATTGTTTAGGTAGTACATTTATGACACATTATAGCAATGCAATGCATAGGCCAGTAACTTTTAATTCTACTTAAGTGGACATCCTGTTGATTTATGAACGGTGCATTTAAGGTCATTTCTTGTACATTATGTGATTCGAGGCATAGATGCGAGTGTTTGTGTTATTATTAATTATCACATACCTTAACCTCGCCTCCTTTGTAAGATCCATTTTGGATGTTTTGTGTGTAAAAATCCCTCTATGTTTACACTTGCAGTTTGTTCCTATTGATTCTTTTAGTTGTACATTGTTAGTCTTCTTTATTCCATTTGAGCTGGTAATATTTGTATTTTATTATAGTTTTTATTTTTCTTACGCCTTTACTAAGTTTCTGTGTTTCTTCCTGAACTGCATTTATGTTGTTTTACTTGATACTTAGTTTTGGCGGCAGCTATATTGGTTTGTTTCCCTTTTGACCGTCTTGCTTGTACTGACTGAAATTATGCATTTTTGATTGTGAATTGAAGCACTCTTCCAGAATTGAAAGCACTCTGTGTTATAAAGCAACCAAATGTTACCTTCTGAACGAATCTGTACGTGGTCTATCCAGACAGAATAAAACAGCATTTGTTTGTTGCGATTGGTAATTTTCTCGCATCCTTTGTCAACTTCCTTATTTATTGTAATTTAGATTTGATTAATTGAACAATTATTGGTTGGATAGCTGGGTGGTCATATTCGTCTAGGTAATAATGTACATTTAAATTTATAATGAATTTTAGAACCGTCATTTTACCCACTTACTTTGTTTTGGTTTCAACCGGGCAAGGGCGCGTATCTAACCCACCTAAACAGCTATTCTTCAGTCCAAACCTTAGTTTGGATCTTACATCCTTAACCTAACCAAAAAAGCAAATAAGTGCAACAATAATAAGGTAAATGTATGCAAACAAACACCACATCTCTTGTTGTTTTGGATACTAAGTTGAGTTGGTTGAGCCAGAAACCGTAGTTACCGTCATCTGGGTGGCTGGTAGCTCACAAAAAGCTCAAAAATCACTGGTTAAGGCAATACCGAAAATATCCATATGAGATTCAAGTAAACTCATTAAACCGGAAAGTCACGTACTCCTTCATCATAACACAGCACTCCCACAACTTTTCTGAGCGCAATATTTATCAGCAGCTTTAACTGCCAGATCTGACACTAAGTGTAGCTGCGGTATTAACCACTCTACAAAATAATCTATAATACTTAGGAAGTCTCATGGGCTGATACATAAGTCAT